GGCGAGCCTTTGCCGAGCTGCTCACGGCCTCGCCCGATGGTGCCGTGCCGTCACTCACCATCCAAGCTATGCTGTCATCGTTCCGCGGCGCTCCACCTGGTGCCCCGCGCTAATCTCCTCCTTTCTGCCTGCCCGTGTGTACGCGTGGCTCCGCGTCCACGGTGTCAGGGCGTGGGGGCGGGGGGTGCCCCGTCACTGCGCGCCGCTTAGCGGCCAAGCGCCCAACTGGCGGTCTGCCAAGCCGCCTAGCCACGTGTCAGCACGTCGCCTTTCTTGTTGGGGCCTCTTTCCTTACGCGGTCTGACAGGTGAGATCATCATCGTCTGTCCGCCGTCTGTAGCGTCTGTCGCACTGCGCCGGGGGAGGGGTTTTTTTGTTGCCCGCCCTCGTATCTAAAGGCTGCACCGCCGCAAATAGTGCATGCGAGTTGTCGCACCGCAGTGCGCCTCGCGGACGGACCCTGGTCCGCCTACTTGTCCGATCTCTCTCTCTTCTCTCTCTCTCTCTCTCTCTCTCTCTCTCTCTCTCTCTCTCTCTCTCTCTCTCTCTCTCTCTCTCTCTCTCTCTCTCTCTCTCTCTCTCTCTCTCTCTCTCTCTCTCTCTCTCTCTCTCTCTCCCCCCCCCATCCCCCCCCCCTCCCTCCCTCTTTCTTTATAGTTTGTTGTTTGTTTCTCTCTCTCTCTCTCTCTCTCTCTCTCTCTCTCTCTCTCTCTATATATATATAACATGGTTGGTAGCCGACATGCATTTTTCGGGTGGCGTTGCGGCGCGTGAGATCTGACCGGATCGCCAGCCCGTTCTCGTGGGGCCGCACGGCGCGCGAAATCAAGTGCGATCGCCGCCCCTCTCGGGGGCACCAGGCGCGTAAGACAGACTAGTCGTTGCTACAACTACAAGGTATAATTCGTAGTAGTGGCGTAGTGACTGCATCTGTAAGTATGAACGCGCCATAATTGCGCAATTCCATTTGAAAAGTTCGCAGATTTCTCAAACCGAGGGGAGGGCATGGCATTCGAGCATCGGCCCCCGCGTCGCAAGAGGACCGAAAAAGTACGCCCGCCCCGCGAAAACATCAATCAATCATCATGAAACTGTCGGCCGACGCGCGGGGCCGAGAGCGAATGGCGTCAACCGACCCCCCGTTTACGCGCATCTGGGACCTGGAGGACGAAACCGAATCTCAAACCTTCGTCCTAGTCCTCAGCGCCTAAGGCCTTGGCCTGCGCCCCAGTCAAATTCCCAGCTCTAGCCTCGAAACGCGCCCCCGTGCTCTTGCGACCGCAACGCGCGCGCATGTTCATGTGAGCCCACTGCAGGGGGAATTTGGTTTCACGAAATGCTTCCATGCGCGAAAGAGGAGTTCGGCCATCTGTAAAGAAACTAGCCATATATATATATATATATATGGATATGTAAGGTGATCCAGCCGTTCGAATACGGATCCCAACTTGCATGCATATGGATGCCGTTTGAATACTTGCGGGGCCCATCCATATCCGTAGAAGCTCTCAGGTGGCGCGCCGCAAGGATATGGCCAACGCATATCCACACGGAAAACCCGCAGGCATATGAGCAGTTCGCAAACGCATGGAAATTCCACTTGCTTGTGGGTTAGCGGTATTATTCAGGCAAGTGGCCGGAACTAGGGAAATCTGGCCTCAAGGTTTGCGTCGAATCACATATCCCGGAAGCCTTCCGCGCCGCAGTTGCCCCTGAAGAGGTCGAAGCTCCTGGAGATCTGACGGGCCCAGGGATTCGTCGTAGCTCCAGCGCAGCTGCGTTCGTCCAGAGCGGGAGGTGCGTTCGGGATGCGTCCGAACATGGCGACCAGGGCTTGTCGATGTGCTTGTGTGTGTGTGTGTGTCGACGCATGCTCTGAAGCCATGTAATTCTTCTGACCGCTAGATCTGCTCTCACTGGGGGGCATGAGAACCGGCGCTGCTCATCGCAATCACGCGCAAATCCTCGTGGATCGTCTTTTCGGCGACCCTGCATCAGAGCGCGAGGTACTTCGCCGTTGGGGAGCCCAGCTTCTTTTCTCCCCTCGGTTGTCTCCATAACGAGGGCCCGCAGACCCGAGGCCCCGGACTCCGCCACCTTCCCCAGAAACATCTCTCTCTTTTACGTCCAAAGCCCCTCTCGTTCCAGAGCTCTCCCAAGTGGCGCCGCCCCGCGGCCGTGGGGTGCGCGCGGGTCGCGACCCCCATCTCGCCGCTGCCTGTCGCGGCGCAGCGGGCTCCGAGATGTCGAGCGCCCGAGACGACCTGGCCCTGGGGCGGCGGACAGGATGTCCCGGAGTCCCCGATTCCCGGCGCGGGGCCCGAGACGCTACAATATTTGCGTTTGATATATTCTGCGCAAGATGCAAGTGGTGAAGGATGGACTCGAGCATCTTGTCGCCCGATTGAATCGTCTCCGCGGCCTCGTCTGCTGCGCCTGTCGGGCACAGCCGTTTCTTCAGCAGGTCGTCGGCGAAGCCGGGCAGAGATGCGCCCCGATGGAATCCCTCGACCTCGTCATACAGGATGATGGGTCTCTCAACGACATGCTTCCAGTCTGAGGTGAGTGCGTGATATGCGCCAGCATTTTTCCGGTGCTTCATAGACCTTTTCAAGTCCGCCACGATGTTAAAGAAAAGCGCCCCCTGATCCTCCAATGGAACGAGCGCGATGCCGCGCGCCAGGCTCTGGCGCGCCACGGCGCGGAGGTCTTCGCACAAATTGTCGGCCGGCGCGGAGGAGGTCGCCTGTTCGCGGGCAGAGGGGCGCGTTGGTGAGGAAGTGGAACTCGTTGATGCGGCGTTGCCGCTGGCGTCGGAATGACCAGCCCGTCCGTCGTTGTGCCAGGATGGCTCCTCCACGTCGGCAATGTGCCAGTGACTGGGCGCGTTGGCGTCGTCCGCCCTGGGCTCGCGGTCGGTCAGGTGTCGTAGTTGGTGGAGGTGGTGGAGGTGGAGGCGGTGGTGTTGGTTCGTCGTGATCGCGCTCGTCGAAGTCGCCGAATGGGTTGACTTCGCGCCGGCCAATTTGGCGTCGCGGTGCCAGCGCGGGGGTCTCCTGACGGACTGGAGCTTGCATGCGTTCGCCTCCAAGTGTGGAGGCTGCCTTGCGACGTCAATCTTGGGCTCGCGGTCGGTCCAGCGTCGTGGTTGGTGGAGCTCGTGGAGGTGGTGGTGGCGGTGGTTCGTCGTGCTCGTACTCGTCTAGGTCTAAGTAGACGAATGGGTCGAATGGGTCGACTTGCAGACAATGCGGTCGCGTCTACAGACCCTCTTGACTGGGGAACATGAGGGAGATGCGGATTTACGGTCGGTGTCGACCCAGCCACCGCGCTGGGACCGCTGGGGGTGGCTTCTGGTGAGCTCAACGCTATCGCGTGGATGTTGCAGCGCGCTCGTTGGCACCAGGGCCAAGGTTCACGTCTTGTCCGGATGGACTCGGCGCTTCTGCGCTCCAGGTTTCGAGGCCCGGCGGACGTCTCAGTGCGGGGGTGAAAGACCCACTGAGCGCGTAAACCATCTCAGTGCGGGGGTGAGAGACCCACTGAGGCACCCTGGTCTGTGGATCGCGTCCCAGGCTTGCGCTGCTCAGGTCTGCTCTGCAGTGTGATGTTCTCCGGCGGCGTCATCGGCAACGAATTCGCGATGCGCAGATTGACGTGAACACGCTCGTCTACTGGCTTGCATGCCTTTCGGACTTTCCCGCGCAGTTAGGGAACGCCTTTTCGTCATGACAGCCGACCCTTTGCATAGTCCCTCGCATAACTGGGCCTTATAGCGGTCCACTCGACATTTTGTCTCGAGGCGGGGGCAATCGCAGACTCGTTTAATTCTGTCGCCCTTATCTCTGCAGCGTGGCTGGGCATCATTTCACAAGGTGCGCTCTTGCGAAGCATGGGCCGCGGTGGCTCCAACAGGCCTTGTGAACTAGTTGCGAACAAGTTCACAAAAGGAGCGAATGGTTGCACAAGCTTACTCTTGTGAACTACACCGCCCATGTAGCATCATTGTGCAGGTAGGGGCTTTTCCGTTCCACCTGGCCTGCCCTGTGTTGTTTCGCACTCCAGGTAACCGGTGCGCTCTGAGGGCGACCATAGCGTCCGCCCTGAGCAGTTTACCATTTCCCGAAGGGATGCGATGCGTCTCCTCGGGCTCAGAAGACAGGTAGCCCCTGTTCATTTTCATCCGCGTTTGTGAATTTGGTGTCGCGGTGACGGTGCGGGAGTCTGCCGAGGGACTGGGGCTTGCTCGCGTTCACCTCCAGCTGTGGAATCTGGAACGAAATTGATGGTCGGGGTCGGATGTGCGGTGGCGGCGGCGGTCGGAATCGTGGCGTCCTCGAGCTCGTCCGCGCAATGGCCCGCGCCGCCCTGCGCGGAGAGCGCCTTGGCCAGGTGGGTCGGGTCGAGAGCCATCAGGGCGACTTCCACAGGGACGCTCCACATGGTCGCGCTGCGCCTCTTCTTAGCCGTCCGCAATCGAAACAGAAGTTGTTAAAATAGAGCGCGCGCCGTAATATCCATCGTCGTTGTGCATACTATGAGAAAGTCACCTTCACGAGGTGCAAGAAATCGATCCAGTTCAGCTTGAAGGTCGGCGCGTTGAGCTTCCAAAAATCCCTCATTGCCCTTGCGCGCGGTGTGGGCCCTCAGCTCGGTGAGGGAAGGCTCGTGGCCAGGTAGGTGGCACTAGATGCGGCCCCTCACCCCTACGGCCTCGCCAGCTGGTAGTCTTGGGACGCGGCGAACGTCAGCCGCGTGGCCACAACTTCGGGCCTCGACCAGCCCCTGGCACGGGTACTTACGATAGGTGGCATAGCCTCGTCGTGCTGCTCGTCGGATTATGTCGGTGGCGGCACGGATCTGTCTTCAGATCTTCTAGGCATGCTTAGTGATTGCCAAGCAAACTCCATCGACTTGCCGCGCGTGGGCTAACGATCGCGCAACTGTCGGCAAACCCGGGGCTTCCCAAGGCGCGATAGGGCACCACCTCGCGGACGCGCCTGCCGTTGCGAGCTCCAAAACAGGCCTGGGCAGCGCCAGACAGGGTCTGAACCCGCAAGTCGCAATCGAAGTCGGGATGCGGCAACTCCGCCCGACCCTCAAGCTGGCTAGCGATGTCGATCACGTTCAAACTCAAGTCGCGGTGAAATTCAAGTCGCCCCCCGCCGTGCTGAAGTGCTCGTGCTGGCCTAGAGCAGCCCCAGCGCGGGCGTAGATGTCGGCGCGCGAAAGTCGACGTCTCGTAATCGATGAATCGATGGCGAAGAAGAATGGAAGATGGTCGCGAGGCTGGGCGCCTGGGATCAGCTGAAGTCACCGCCCTCGCCCCCGTGCCACCGCGCAGGAGGAAAGCGCTCGCGCGCGCCAGGTCCGGGGATGAGAGGACATCGTTTAGCTCGGCGCCTGCTGCGCCGCTGGGCGCGAGGTGGGAGGCGCCGAATCTCCTCAGGGTCTAGCTTCGCGTCCTCGTTCGTGCTCTGGTACGTGCCTGAATTGACGTCGAAGCCCCGGGTCGGCGCGCGCCTCGCTGGGGCGCCTGCCATGCGCTCATGCATGTGGTTCATCGTCATCTCGATGCTCTGCTGCTGCGCACGCTTTGCGGCGCCCGTCTCGTAGAGCGGAAAGCGGTGGCATGTCGCCGCCAGGATGTCGGAATTGACTTGATGCGGACGTCGCCCGATCTGCCCCCCAGCCCCCGCGGCGCCAGCGCGAGAGCTGCAGCGCGGCTCCGTCTCAGCCGTCGCCCCGCCGCCATGCGCGTGCCAGCGCAGATGTCAGCCAACATGGCAATTCCTGTACGCGAGATCGGGTTCCGCCCAGAACTAGAATGTCCACGCCCAATGCACCTGCAATCTCTACAAACCGAAAACTCCGAATGAGAGACAGAGGATTGCAAGCCGCCGCCCGCAAGAAAACGCACGTGATCCCCTCTCAGGACATGCGCCCACGCATCGGCAGTTGGGCGAGGGGTCGGCGGGGCGGCGCGAAGCGCGCCGAGGTCTTCTCGTCGCTGCCCGCTGCGCTGCTTGAGCCGACGTGACAACTATATATATATATATATGTATGTGAATCACCGTCTAGATATATAATCATACATAAAACGTACACATGTAAACATATAGGTCAAAGCCCAGGAAGCAAAGGACATCAGGCGGGCGAGGATGGCCCGACACCCGGCAGCGCCACTCTGGCCCGCCGCGGTCACCAAACAGCTCCTCAGAAACCGTGGCCGCCACCCACGGCCAAATGAATAATACCCGATGCAGCCTGACGCTTGCACTGCATCGCGCATCTCGGCATAGCACGCCCCAGCGATGAAACCGACCGTCGCGCCGCGCCCCAGAGTCGACGCCGACGCGTCACTCGGAACAGCCGCCGCAGCTCAGAGAGGCAGGCCTGCTCCGATACCTGCTCGCACGGCGCTGCACTCCCCGCCTCGCAGAACGGCCGCTCCAGCGAAGCCGCGCGCGCCGCCGGGCCTCGCCCCCGCGGCCAGGCGCTGGGGCGCCCAGGGCAGTTGAGATTCAACGTCGGGCGCAGCTGTGCCAGGCTGCGCCTGGCAATGACAGACGGCCGCCAACGGGCGCGCGGGCGCCGCTGGGCAGGCCGGGCACTGGCCAGGCCACGCGCCGAGGATGGCGGCCAGGGCAAGCTGCCCCGCGACCGCGCCAGGACTCCAGGCTCAATTTCCAGCCGCGCTTCTGCGCCAGGGGCCTCGAGCCAAGAAACAATGCGCCAATGATAATGATAGCGCGCAACGAACGCGACGCATCCAAGTCAACTGCAATCGCTGTGGAACATATGAACTGAAGGCGTCGCAACGCGCGCGCCCGTGCGCGAGCGCATAGAAGCGCCGCAAATACGCTAAACGCGCGCGCGGTCTATATGCGCAGATACAAAGACGGAGAGCACAATAATAACAATGATAATACGTTTCAGAAATGAGTGCCCCCACCTGCTCGCGCACCGCCCAGCGCGTGTATCCCGCGCCTTCGACGCCCCATAGTTCCTCGACAAGGACGAAGCCTTCGTGCGCTCTTTCACGCCCGCCCTCTGCGTCTTCGATCGCCCCCCCCCCCGGGGGGCGCGCCCCCCCTGCCTGCCGCGCGCAGCGGGCGCGGCCCCGACGGCAAAGGAAGGGGGGGGGGGGCGAGAGGCGAGGGGGCGAGGGGAGAGAGAGAGAGAGAGAGAGAGAGAGAGAGAGAGAGAGAGATAGAGAGAGAGAGAGAGAGAGAGAGAGAGAGAGAGGAGAGAGAGAGAGAGAGAGAGAGAGAGAGAGAGAGAGAGAGAGAGAGCGAGAGGAGAGAGAGAGAGAGAGCGAGGGAGAGAGAGAGAGAGAGAGAGAGAGAGAGAGAGAGCGAGGGAGAGAGAGATAAAGAGAGAGAGAGAGAGGGAGAAAGAAGAATGGGGCACGAGACATATTAACAGGGCGAGGGCCACGCTCAGGAGCGCAAGCGGCAGAAACAGACGGGCGCGCCGGGCGGGCGGGCCCCGGCGGGCAGGCCGGGCGGGCGGGCCCAGGCGGCCAGGTTGAGCGGGCGGGTCGCTATGGCGTCGACCCACCATGAAGGAAATTTCTAACGGTAGCACGACCCCCAAGTGCATCGCCAGGGCATCCACGACGAGAGCGCGAGTCGCGAGTCCCAGGGGCGCGGCGCTGCAATGCGCGGCGAGGATGCGCCGCGCGAAGGCGCTGCTCCTGCATGAACTCCCAGCGAGAGCTCGATTTTGAAAGAAGCCCCATGGAACTATGACGCGGCAACCGCTGCCGCTGCAAACTGGGGGCCAGGGGCGCAGTTTTGCGACCGCGGGCTTTCCCCAGCAACAGACGGAGCTTCGGGAGGGGCGCTCTAATTGAAAAGTGCATCGGCCACCTGAGGGGGGGGGGGGGCCTTGTTCTTCAGGCATGAGAACTCAACGGCAGCATCAGCAAAAGTTGCAGCAGCAACAAAGAACAACAACTACAACAGCCACAACTACAAGCACGACAGCAGCAACAACCCAAGCAACAACAACAACAATTAACAAACAACCAGCAACCCAACGCAAATCGAACAAACATATATATATATATATATATATGTATGTATATATATGCCTAACGAACCATAATTAACTGAGCGCCCCGCCCGCCCGTCGATGGGTTGCGCTCGCAACCGCGGCGCCGGGCGCGAGCCGAAGCCAGCGCCGCGCCCCGCGGCGCGGGCGCCGCGCTGGCGGGCGCCGCGCCGGGGCGTCGCGGGCGACTCGGGCGGCCTCGGCGCCGGTCGCAGCGCGACCCATCAACGGGCGAAGACGCGGCGGGCGGGGGCGGGCCCCGTCCCGAGCGGGGGGCGCACGCCGCGCGCGTCGCGCGCAAATCCGCCAACCTCGGCAGTGCCGCGGCGGGGCGGGCGCCGCGCGGACGGACTTGCCCGCGCCGCCCGCGGGCGCCGCGGCGCGCGAGGCCAGCTCGGCGACGCGGCGCCGTTCGCGCCCGCGTCCGCTGCGCAAGGCGCGAATGGGACGGAAGGACGGAACGGAACGCGCGCGCAAATTTCCCGAGCGCCCCGCTCGCCCGCCGCTGGGCTGCGCGCGCCGCCGCAACGCCGGGCGCGCGCCGGCGCCTCGGGTGGCCCCGGCGCCAGTCGCAGCGCGATCCTGTGCAATGATGCGGCCAGCGCTGGGCGCCGCCCACCCGTCGCGCCCGCGGCGCGCGGCGCTCTGGCGCGAGGGCGGCGGTCGCAGCTGCTCGACGCGCCAGAACTGCCCCGCAAGCTGTCCGAACTGACGGGCGCGGCGGCGCGCGCGGCGAGTGGGGCGACGGCGAACCCCGCCGCGGGCGGGGTCTGCCGTCGCCTGTTCGACCGCACGGCCAAGAAAGGCAATCTCTCCTCTGCCGAGACCTGCCCGCGTAAAAACGCTCGCGCGAATGTCGAGCCCTACCGGTTCCCGCTCGACCTGGCGCGGGCGGCGCAGAGCGCTCAGACCGACGACGCGCCTGCCGCCCGCCTTGGCGATGTTGGCGCTGGAGTCTGCCGACTACGTCGCGGACGAAGTCCTCGTCGCGCTTTGCGAAGGCCGACCGCGGGCAAAAGGACTTGCGGCGCCGTCGCGTCGCGGGCGAGCTCCGCGGACGCGCGCGCGCGGAACGCGCGAGCGCGCTCGCGAACCGGCGCTGACACTGGGCGGGGGGCGGGCAGGCACCTCGCCACGGTGAGAGCCGACAGGGGCCTCTTTCGGTCGCTCGCTCGCGAACCGCGTTGGAAGCGGCGCCGAAACCCAGAGCGACCTCATTCGATCGGTCGCCCGCGACCCTAACGCGGGCGAGCGTTGCGCGAATGTCGAGGAGGACCTCGTACGGTCGCGCGCTCGCGACCCTCGTTCGAAGGCGCAGACGTCTCGCTCGCGCGCGAACCGCGTTCGGATGCGGCGCAGACCGTGGAGGTCGGACCCCGTTTGGTCGTTCGCTCGCGATCCACGATCGGACGCGGCGCCTGCGTAGACGCGGGCCTCGCTCGGTCGTTCGCCCGCGATCCTCGTTCGGATGCGGCGCAGACTTTTCATTAATGTATAAAATATAGATTTATATGAAAATATAAATATGTGTATATATATATGGGCCACGTCCGGTCGTTCGCGCGCGATCCTTGTTTGGGCGCGGCGCAGGCGTAATTTCGAGCCTCGTTCGGTCATCCGCTCGCGATCCTGTTTCGGACGCGGCGCTGACGTCGCAGCGGACCTCGTTCCGTCGCTCTCCTCGTCCGGATGCGGCGCGGACGAAAAATGCGTCTCGTCGGCCGCTCTTTCGCGATCCTCGTTCGGACGCGTCGCAGACGTCGGAACGGACCAAAGTCGGTCGTTCGCTGGCGATCCTCCTTCGGATGCGGCGTGGACGCCGAACAGACCTTGCGCGGTCATTCGCGCGCGATCCACGATCGGGCGCGGCGTGGATGACCCCGGACCACGCACGGCCGAACGCGCGCAAAACCGAAACGGATGCGACGCGGGGGCAGTTAATGCGCGGCAGCGTTCGCCGTGAAATACTGCTCCGAATGAGCACGAATCGATCCTGAACTGCGAACCCAGCGGCACCTGCGGGGGGGCCGGGAGGAACAGGAGGAATCTGCGCACGAGGACGGCGGCGCGCGCGGGAGGAGGGGGAATCGGAACCTGAGGAAGGATACGCGGCGCGGCGACCGCCGTCGCGGCGACCGCACGCGCGCGGAGCAGGCACGCGGCAGACGTCAACGCAGGGCAAGCCAGCACGCCGCAGGAGAGCGGCGGCGCGCACGCAACAGACCGCCGGCGCGCGCGCGAGAAGCAGGCAGGCCGCGGAAGGCAGTAGCGCCGGGCGCAAGAGCGCGCAGCGGGCGAAGCAGCACGCGCGGGGCGACGGCAGGCGGGCGCACGCGAGTGCAGCCCGCGCTCAAATCCCGAGCGCGGGGTGCACGCCCCACGTCCTGCATGCAAATTTGTGAACCTCCGCAACGCCGCGGAGGGCGCGGGTACCATGCGGAAGGGCGAGGACCTGCCCACGTCGCCTCCTGCGCGCCGCGACGCACGCATGCAATGCGGCGACACGGCGCCGTTCGCGCCTGTTCGCGCCTGCGTCCGCCGCGCATCCCCGGGGCCAGCGAATGTGTGCGATGAAACGAAAGGCTCAGTTCGTGCCACACAAAGAAAACAGGATTATCACACACATAGGCCTCAAAAACATAGCGTTCGTGGGAGTG